TTGCTCAATTTATTTAGCCCAGGTTTTTCATACTTACTAGTTCCACATTTTCTCTGTAAGCTACTGGGACATGACAGGAAGAAATGCTGAATTCTTCCCAGTGCTACACACACAAATGCGGGCTGCCCTTTGAATAAATGAAAGGAAACTGGAGGTAGACCCTGACTATTAGAGATTAGGTTTCAAATTTTTTTATATTAATGTTTCTGGGATGTAGTTTCCCATTTACAAGATGGGGTTAATGACAATATCTCAGGTTTACCGTGAAAATCTCTGACATCTCTGAGATACTGTAGTGATGAATATTGAAAAGCCCATGAAAACATGCATGTTTCTGTCATCAAAGCAAAGCTCAAAAAAGGTGAGGTAAATGAGGCGTGTAACTGGCTCACTAAGTCAGCATTGTCCCTTCTGTGTTTCACAGAGGGAGAGGTCTCAGGGGAAGAATCCTATCTGATCGGATAACCAAAGTAATGCACGTGCTCAAGGAAGATGATACGTTTGCACAGGCAGACCTAAATGATGGAATTCCTTATTTCTGAGAGGATTTATGTATTTAGCAATGTGTTTTTAAATGAGGCTTTTGGGGGGTGAGGGGGGTGCATGTAATCCTGTAACTTAACAAGTGTAGATAAAAGTTTTGGCATGATACCAAAAGCTAGCAGTGCAAAGTAAAAATGCAACACATTACTACTACCACTTCCAAAAGCCTTGCAAGGTGCTCCTCAGTAAAAATAGTAATTAAAAACAAGCTTAGTTTATAACAAGGCTTGTAAGCTCATTATGATGAGATGGCACTAACGAAGAGTAGGGAATAGAAGAGCTGGAGAGCTACAAGCAGTCAGCTCCTGCCATTCCTTTAGCTTTGTCTGCATCATCGATTTCAACCGCTGAGGCATGTGGAGCTATGTCAACAGGAGACAGTGGTGCAGCTATAATTATGCTGCCAAAACTGCTATTACCATGTTTGTTTGCCTTATGGGGATAGCTGGACCATACCAACATCACTGTCTCCTAACGTGGATCTGACCTTAGGTCAAGAAAGTGCATACCTGCACCTTGATCCTGCTAAGATTTACTGGTGTACTAATTTACATGATTTCAGCTACTTGCATATGTAAAACAGTGATGGTACAAGTGTAAGTAGTACCAATGTCTCTGTATGGACATAGCTCAGGTGCTAACAGTGCTAATAATAACAACAAGATTATTGTATACCGCGATTTCATAGTAATTTTTTACATTTCATGTTTCCTCTATTTCTAAGTGTTTTAATATTTAGTGTTCTTCCTCTTTTGGGGCAAGAAGGTCAACTCTTGGAATGTAAATCCTAAAGTTAAGATTGAATACTAAATACAAAGTGGTTATATATGGTCAGAAGGGATGCTTTCTGACACAGGAATGGCCTTTTCTTTTACAGCTTAATGTCCTGGAAAAAATGGAGTTCATTAACTAGTATAGAAATTTCATTTGGAAAAAGCCTCTTGTATATTTTTGTATTGCGATTTCCGTGGGGTTTTTTATAGTTATGCTTGAAATGTATTAATACATCTGCTGAGTAGTGTCAGTGGCCCTTGAATTAGTGTATACTGACCACAGAACTGCACATGGTATCACTCATTTCTTGTAAGATCTGTGCATCAGAGAAATGACAGTCTTTTTAGACTGGAAACAACATTCTTTTTTGTGAGCTTGTGTGATACAACCTCTGTTTGTCTTTCTAGGAGTCTGACCTGACGTTTCGGTTGGCTAGTGGCCTTGTTATTTGGCAGCCTATGTGGGAACACAGGCAGCCTGAAGTTTCTGCCTTCAACGCCCTTGTAAAACCAATCAGGAACATCGTTACAGGTCTGTGACTTTGCTGTGGTAATGTAGCTCCTGAGAGCTGGGAAACCTTTCCTTTGTTTGCCTGATGCTGCCTTACGTTCTGTAGCCATCATATTTGACGGAATATGTTAATCCTGCAGGAAATAGTCAAACCTTTGAGAGTAGTTTAAGGTTGTTTCCCCTCAGAGTCAACCAACATTTGCATAATAATTAAATAGGAGATGAGAGAGAAATCACAAATAGGAAATTAGTTATAACAGTATAACAGTGTAGTTACCATTTCCTGTCAGCCTCATATTTCTGTTTCACCATATCTTCCTTAGTCGCTAAGAAGGGCAAAGGCAGTATCTAGCAGCAGCCTGACACTGGTGGGGAAAGCTTTCCCAGACTGGCAGTGGACAAAAATTAACAGTGAAGAGCACACAGTTGGCGGTGTAGGTTCCCCTCCTATATAAAATTTGAATTTCGCCGTGTTATGAAATTAAACAAAGTAGTCTCAAGAGGCTTCAAAGAAGGCTGAGGTTGTGAATTCACTTTTGCAAACTGGAAGGGTTGCTCCTCCTTTGTACTTCAGCCATAATGAGACTGGAGTTGGGTGCTTAGGCTTCCAAGCCTTTGTGTCTGGCCTAGTTCTAAAAAACTTCTTTTACTTCTATGTTTTTAGACAATAGTTTTGCATAATTTCTACAAGGTAGTGAATTGAAAGTGTGCTGGGTATATCGCTGTAGCATTGCTTGCTCGTTCTCAAAAGCACGGAACAGTAATTTTCACAGTAGTGAAAATGTAGTTCGCTAAATCAGATTTTTCTGATGACAAGTTATTTGGGATGTCATATTTTGTTCTGAAGGCTTTGTAGGCTTCTGGGACAGTCCAGAATTGAAAAGATTCAAGTCTTTCAAATGATCTAAACCCATCTTTGACATCTAGCTCTTCCTCCCTCTGCTTCAACTTCTGGAATTAAAAAACAGGATTTCTGTTTAAAAAACTGGAACTAACAAAAGGAATTAGTCCTAAGTTTTCTTTGACTGTTGGAATTTTTTCCGTAGATGTTGGAGTGTGGTCAGAAAATCCCTAAATAACTTCAGGAGTAAAGTCTGAAGTGAAAATACTCTGTTATGTTTTGAAAACATTTTCAGCAGAACGGAGATGGAAATTGGAATGAGGTTCTTTACGTCAAGGAAGATTCTGCTATCTTAGCATTGTCTCAAATTGGGACAAAAAAAGTTAAATTTACTTAAATTTTCTTTCAAACAACAAATTTAAAAAGTCCTACTGAAGCAGCTTTGCAATGTTTTGTTTGGAGTCAGTCTGATACTAAGTCACATCTGAATAGCTTGCGATCTGACAGGATTGCAAGAATTGTCATCCTAGTCTTTGTGATGCCCTTGTTCTTCTACAGTATCGCTGATCAAACTTTCTGTATGACGTGTGTGTTTCCTGTGATGAAGGCATTTGTCAAATTGGAAATCACAATACATTCTGAGAGATGTAACCTAGAAAAGGAGCTGAATATATGTGAAAATAGGAGGAGGAAAAGCTCCGGAATAAAAGGCACTAGTATGCACAGGAAAACGCAATGCGATGCCAAGTGGATTTAGGGTAAAATTTACATTCAAATTTAATTTTAAAGAAATAGAGATTTTCAGTAGACAATGTTGTTGACAACACAATTGAAAGAATTGTGCAAAAATTAAAACAGTCCTTTTTTCTTTTTCTTTTTGCGGCTGTGGCTAATGCCTAGGACGTCTGCAGCAGAGAGATGCTGCTTTGGGTTTGTTTTTGTTTTCCGGTTTATCCTTTCAGTGGTACGTTTTAATATTAGAGGTGATTCCTGAAATGTCCTCCTTTGACTTCTTTTCTCAGCTAAGAGAAGTTCTCCCACCAACAATCAGAGCGTGACTTGTGAATCCCCTAATCTGGACAGTGGACATACCGAGGTAAGTTCTATGCTAAGGTTAGACAAGCTTGAACAAGGAACCGAGGGAGGGGTGAAATTAATATTGAAACAGCACTTGCAGTTACCACCCGAAAGTATTCCATTTCCAGAAATGACAGTTCTTCACAGTTCTTCCTAAGGCTCTCAACCTTGTCTGTAGTGGAACCAAAGGATATTGAGTATAGTTGTCAGGATCTCTTTGGCCTTACCGTGTCTTATAGGATGGAAGCCTGATTTTATGTATTTTCTTGGGCAAGAGCCCTGTCTTACCCTTTGCCTGTACAATGCCTAGTACTGAGAAGCCCCAGGCTTAATTAGTTTCTCCATGCTATTACCATGGTATTTCGGTATAAGTAATAGTCATGTTTAAGCACAAATTGCAATAAGAAAACGAATATGGGAGAGATAAATATGTTTATATACCTATTTCTTTTTATTACAACTATCCAAAGGGACTACAGGTGGTCTGTGAGACAACCCAGCCAGATTCTGTACCTCCAAAGGCCACTATTTCAGCATGTCATCGTGGAAATTCCTTGGATGGAAGCGTATCTTCCCAAACCTCTCAGGAGAGAGGTACCACACATCCCAGGTACAAACCCCTTCAGCAGAAAGTTAGGCTGGTGTGACTCAATGGTGGAGGTCACAGAATTCCTTTATTTTGAATCTGCTGTTGTCTGTACATGCCAAGGGTGCTGGATGTTTAGCTCAAACTCTGAATTCAACAAATCTCAGTTCTGGGTGATGAACAAGGTGGTGACACTTGATATTCAATGCCACTTTCATTGGAGAAATCTCTAGCTGGCCTGTTGGGACAGTTTCTTTGGTCTTTTCTAATGTGTCGGTTTCTTATAATGAAAGACACTAACAAATAACCTGCAGGTTCAACCCTCCTTAGCTAGATTCAGCCTCAGGCAGCTGGTATCTTTTCTGGCTTCCTTTCTATCAAATTTTCTTTGCCTTTAGCAAAGGATTTTTGCAAGCCTCTCTCCGTTGTCTTCATTATGCCTTCTCTGCATCCTGCTGCTTAGCTTGCTTTCGACTACTGGCCCAAAGGAACAGACTAACAAAGAAGCGCAGCCACACAAGCATCCTCCCAGCTTGTCCTGCAGATCTCAGGCCATGGTTTTCCAGCATGGCACTGATAAATTAACTTCTTTTAATCTAGATTTGGGCAGGTAAAGTTAGAACCAGATTTTCAGTAGTGCTGGGCACTCGGTAGTGCCATAAAGTAAATGAAGCTGATGAGTGTTTTCAGGGGGTGGAGAGGGAGGGAAGCCTAGCTATATTTTTAGACGTCTATGGATTTAGGAGTGTCACTTAAACTCCTCCTGAAAATTTTGGTCCTGTTGCTTATCTCTTTAGGGAAATGTCGTATCCAAAACACTGCAGTGTTTTAAGAAATTGCTTCATTACAGAGACAGAAGAAATGTGGGATGGAGTGGGTTTCTGGATATAATCTAGGAACGGCTCTGATTTCTCTAAAAGGGGGTTGATGCACCCTTTCACTGGTGGAAGGGGCAAAGCTATTCTCTAGGGTTCTGATCCCGTCAGAAGGCTTCCCTCGGGATTTTGTATCAAGCCTGCTGTCAGTTCTGGTTCGTTATTTAATTTGTATTAATGTGAGCCAGTAAAACTGAAGTTGGGGACAGAACTGCCTTTCTATGTGTGAACACTACTGCTCAGAGAGTGCACAGCCATAAAAAAATAAGCAGCCTTTTAAGAAGGCAGCATCAGGTGATCAGTTTGTCAAGCTGGGTCTGGTGGTTGCTATGGGGATGAAGCTTCAGACAGGCTTTGAAGAGAGCATCATTATGTCTCCTCATTTGCAGGACTCATTGATCAGTTAAAACTGTACAGGGAGCTTTGGTTGCCAAGCAACAGACAACTGGGGAACAAATGTTGTTTACTCTACTTACCAACAGCCGCAGTATACAGTATTCCTTTGTCCTTGGTTGAGGGAAGGCTGCCTTTCCCTCTCCCTGCAGTCACAGGCAACCAAGAGCTGATTATACGAACACTAGGTTTCCCTCTAAATGAAGCGCAGAGTTTCATTTCTGGTTCCTCGGACACTTCTTGAGCAAATGGCTTGTTCCTCTGATCCTGGCTAATTATCCCTGCTCCACTCAGTGAAATTCTCCATTTACAGATGATACAGTTTAACACTGAAGCAAATAAAGCCACAGCCCTTTATCCAGCTGCTGTCTTGAACACATCCTGGGAAACAGGCTTTGCAGGAACGACTTTAGTGACAAGTATTTCATAAGCAAAACATGCCTTGCTCCGAGCTGTGTCATGCCTCGGGTTTGCCTATGCTGCATACAGGGGAGCATGAAAGACTGTTTAGACTCAGACACTGATCTTGGTCCTGCAAAGTGACCAGGGAGCAGTGCATCATCCTTTGCATTTGCTACTGAGGTGATGAGCTTTATTTCCTTTGCTGGGATGCTTTGAGGCTGCATCTATGTGACACAATCTTGACAGTGACAAAAGCAGCCTTCACATCAGGTTTATGGGAATAACTATATCATATTTCCCTTTATCATTATTTTCTCCTTCCTAATTCAGTTTTTCAGGTTTTTATAACAGCTCTTTTTAAAGTCATCAAACTTGTAACATTTTTACCTTGAGAGAAGTTTTGAATCTATAGATTGCATATAATGACATATGTTGACACAGACGGGCTGGTCTGCCATCGCCAAGTGCCTTCAACATTGGCCTGTGGGGCTGGCAGCAAACCAGCTCCTGCAGGTTTGAGTTCTAGATGCATGTATTGCTCCAAGCCCAGCCTTGCCACCTGCCCCCCGTTTCCAAGCGTGTAATATGGAGCAGGGTTCACATGATTCCAAGTGGTGTCAACGTTCACTGCACACTTCTTTCTCCTTTGCCAGTCCTATATCTGCCTTGGATGCACAGGGCAGCTTTGTGGCACTGGGCAGTGATCCAGCAAAGCACTTTAAGCATGCACTTCACTTTAAGCACTTAGAGGTTCCACTGGGCAGTATTGCCACTTGTTCCCTAATGCTTTGCTGGACTGTGGCCTTGGACGCCTTCTTCAGAATGTGGTGGTACCCAGCTGGAGATGGGGGTGTCCTGCCAATTCTGTTTGCATGTTGTTTAGCAGAATCGGTAATATAAATGTTTTTAAAAAAAAAATATCTGATGTTCTTGTGATGATTCCCAAATGCCTGAGAATACAATTCATGGAAGTACTGTTGATTTTTATAGAATCCAAAAATCACAGAAGTTCATGGAGGTATGTTTCTAAGACACTGAGTGGAAACTTTCAAATTGTGTACTTCTGCAGGCAAAAAAAAAAAGACAGATCTCCAGAGTTCCTGCCCCACCCCCTGCATTTCACACCTTCTTTTGCTGTGTGATTCTCATTCCTCCGACTCCCTTTCACTGCTTCTTTTCTGACAGATTGTCTCCTAACAGCTAGTGACTGTACAGAGGGTAGATCAAGCCAGTTTTACTCTGCTGGGAGAGAAGTGGTGTAAAAAACAAATATGGAAAAAGTTGGGGCATTGTAATAAGATTGGCTCTGAAAACAGATATGATCCCATTGAAATCTGAAATCTCTGGAGTCTCATTTCTGATGCTTACTACAGACATTTTGTTTTTGTGTGCACTAAGTTCTACAATACTTAGGAAATTCTGTACTAAAACCCATCAGGAAACGACACCACCTGAAAGGCAGGAAAGTCACAATGAAGTCTAAAAATGGTGCTTTTCTCTAGCACACCTTGGCAAAGTGTGTCCATAACAGTAACTTTTACTTGTATAAGAATCAATTTAATTGGCTTAAAGGGTTAACTAACTTAGCTGCCCTGCCTGCTCCTTCTTAAGTAAGGCCTGATGTGTACAAATGTAAGCCATTCCTAAATATA